TACTTGGTAAAGTACTTTCACTTGTCATTGGACACTTGTTCAAATGGTAGGGGTTTTTACTTGAATTTTATCTGCAACTTTTTTTTTTTTTTTTTTTTTTTGGTGGTACCAGGGATCGAACTCAGGACCTTGCACTTGTCAGACAAGCACTTATTCCACTGAGCTATCTCCCCAACCCCTCTCTGCAACTTTTAAAAATAGCATGATAATACAGTCTGTCACAGTAGTACATTTCTATTCATAAGATGCTCCTTATCCTACACAGATTTCTTTCAGTTATTATTAACAAGAACCCATATATTTCTTCTAAATTCTGCAGTCTTGGTTTCTTGACAGCTTCATTTTAGAAACTGCGGACTCAGTAGTATTTAATCACCCATCTACAGATGCAGAAAGGCGATGGAGGCGGGGGTGGGGGCCCTTACTTTGTCCTGTGCATCCACTGTGTGTCCTCATTATGACTGGTTTCTAACATTACCAACTGAATTTTCCTCTCTTTTTTTCCCCAGGCTACCTTCAGTAAGATTCCCATTGGATTTATCCCACTGGGACAGACCAGTAGCTTGAGCCATGCCCTGTTTGCCGAAAGTGGAAACAAAGTCCAGTAGGTTGTCAATGTGGAATGTTACCCTGTGTGGGTGAGCGAGCCTGGGAGGGAGGATTCACACGTGTGATGTGTTTTGTTTTGCTCACTTGAAACTTCAAATAATTGGAAGGAGGGACGATATCAAAGTGCTACCTTCAGTTCATTGGGACGTTCCCCAGTTGGTTATGGGACCTGGCTATTCTAATAGTCCCTGCGCCACCTCTGGAGATGAACATTTTATGTGCTCTGTCATTATGAAGATGCTGGCTCTGACACAGACCGTGCGCTTTCACTTTGTAAGATTGTTTCAGGAAGGCAGATTTGTACAGATCATTTGTTTGTTTTACGTGTACAAGATGACAAATAGCTAGTTTCTTGTAGGGACTAAACCCATAGCCTTGGCTGCCTTATTTTGATAATATAAAGAGCTCAGATGACTAAATATAGCCAATCCTTTTGGGAGTGCTTAAGTGGTAGGCAGTCTGGATACAGCAAACAAGGAAAGCAGTAGAGCCCTGACATCCAAATTAAATTGATTTACATATAATAATGTCTTCAGGCGTGCAGGGGAGTGTTTCTATTGTTCTTTTCTCACGAAAGCTTGAGCTAAGCCTGATCTCTTCAGGGTTGGGATGTTGAATTTCAGAGTGATTGATAACCTTGAGCAAGTGGTTGTCAAGAAGGATCTAAGCAAACAGAGAGAGAGATCTGAGAGGTAGTTACTTCATCTTTAATGTGGGCCGTATGACACACTGGAAAAAATTAGTAAACATTTCTTGAGTACATTTAACAGTTTCTCACCGCTTTTCTAGCTATAACTGTCTAGAATCAGTAATACTCAAGTAATTTTGTTTTGGTTAAGGAGTTTTTGGGGGGTGTTTGGAATTCTTTGATGATGTTGGTATATTTGTTTTGTTGTAATTTTAGAAGTCAGCTTTTAATCATTCTGTATGTTACAAAAAAGCCCGGCATGGGGGCTGGTGAGATGGCTCAGTGGTCTAAAGCACCTACTTAGATCAAGTTTAGCAAAGCACAGGGACCATGGTTCAATCCCCCAGCACCACATGCCAGCCAGCCCTGCCCCCTGGTGGGCTGAGCTGGCCACACACACACACACACACACACACACAAACACAAATAAAAAAAAAATTAAAAAATAAATAAAATAAAATTATTAAAAAAAAACAAAACCCGGCATGCCCGCTTCAGCAGTGCATACGTGATGCAAAAGCCTGGGTCTGTGGGTCAGATACAGCTACGCCTGGGTGTAGACACATATCAGGGCTTTTTTCCATTTTCTTTCATGCCTCACATTTGAATATAACGGTTATCATTAGCTCTTCCTAGGGGCCAGGGAGATAGCTCAGCAGCTTAAGTGCCTGCCTGGCGAGCACAAGGTCCTGAGTTCGATCCCTGGTACCAAAAACAAGGAAGAGAGAATCACCTCTTCCTGAGACCTAATGAACACAAGAGACCATTTCAGTTTGCTGTATTTTTTGTTCCTTTTTTTTTTCCTTCTTCTTCTGGGGCTAGAACCCAGGGCCTTGCACTTGCTCTGTCACTTACCCTAGCCCCTTTTAAATGTTATTTGAGACAGCATCTTGCTAAGTTGTCCATGCTGGCTTCTAAGTGGCTGTCCTCCTACCCCAACCTCCTAAGTAGCTGGGATTACAGGTGTGCACCACTATGCCAGGCCCAGTTGAGAAGGTTTCTTTTGTTTGTTTGTCTGGTTGGTTGGTTGTTTTTGTTTTTGTTTTTGTTTTTGTTTTTTTTTTTCTTTTTTTTTTGTGTGAGAGGGAGCACTAGGCATCAGGAGATATCAGGGCGCTCTCTCGCTCTCTCTCTTTCTCTCCCTCTCTCCCCATGTGGCTGGCTCAGCCACATGGGGGCAGGACTGGCACAGCATGTGGTGCCAGGGATCAAACTACAGTCCCTGTACTTGTCTAAGTTGCCTAAGCAGGTGCTTTAGACCACGGAGCTATCTTGCCAGCCCTTGAGAAGTTTTGAAAAGTAATAAATAGGTAATGACAAGTGAATTACTTACATTTTTGCTTATCAGAGATAAGCAAAATTCAAGTTTTGGTTACATTAAGAAACCAGGATTTCTCTTGTGACAATAGAGAGTTTTCTTTAGCACTTTAGCCAGTATTTCACAGTAAGGTATGTGTGTGGCCAGAGTTCCACCGCTTTCCTTGGAGAACCCCTGCCTGTCCCAAAGCCAATTTCTGCTTTGGCAGCCCTTGGGGTCTGAGATGCCATTCCATTTTGCCAGGGGGCGGGTGAAGCTGATTTTCTCCTGTTGTTGAACTACTGCTGTTATGGTTTCATTTATAATTCAAAGATTTATAAAATTTAATTTATAAGCATGTCCCAGGGCTCTTAGGTAATCAACCAACTCTGCCCTGGGTTCAGAATTTTGTAGACCTCTTAACCTGGCAGTTGCCTAAGGCTATTTAAAAAGAGCAAGCGTTTGCTTTTTGCACTGCTGTCAAGACTGTTTGTACCAAGGCCTGCGAGATGGCTCAGCAGACTAAGTGCCTGCTTAGGCAAGTGCAGGGACCAGGGTTTGATTCCTGGTACCACATGCCTTGCTGACCCCACCCAGGGGCAGTGTGGTGGTGCATGCATATAATCCCAGAGCTGGACAGGTGAAAACAGGAAGGTCCTTATGAGTCCGAGCTGTGTAGTGAGACCCTGTACCTAATACAGAAAGAAATTTTTTAAAAGACTTTGTAACATTACCACTACAGAAGAAAAAAGAATCTTAGAATTTGCAATGTTACAGGTAGATAGTCTTAAAAAGGCTGTTCCACACGACACTGCTGCTTTATTTAGAATGTTCAGTTATTGCTGAAGAATGATAAATATAAGGTTGCAGTTTAGTTGTCCTTTACCAAGCAATTTAAGAAAACAATTCAATTTATAAAAAGGCTTTGAGTCGCAGTCTTTTTCTAAGGTCAGTGTCTCAAAGGTACATACTAAACTTGTCAGGACGCTGGGGTTGCTCAGGGGAAGCACCATGCGTTAGGATTTTAAACTTTTGAGCATCTGTACGCGGGGGAGGTGGATGGAGTAAAAACACATTCCTTGAGAAATATGAGAAAGTATAATAGATTCATCTTGCTTACTAGGGAGCCCAGATTTAATTTGAGCATTTAGCATGTACATTAGGGGGATTTTAAAGTATCTTAAATCGTACCAAACTTTGTTACAACTGGATTAAGGGATATGGCGAGTTAACATTTTAAATCTGAATGCCATGGTAGGGAGACCTGGGGATCACATACATTTTAGATGTAGGGTTTCTCTTTGGGAATCCCGAGATACGCCCTCTTGACTAAAGCAGCTTACAAAGTGAAGGGCGCATATTTTTGCAGTTAGACTGGAGCCGTTTTTCGTGGTTGCTCGTCTCTCTCTGAACCTCTTTTCTCCTGTGTGTTTATCAAGTATACAATTAATTGTTCTGCCTTCAGACAACTACATAAAAAGCGGAAACAAGGACTGGTTAAATAAATACAGTTGAAGATTCTTATTTACTGAAAGTTCATTTGGGAGGAAAAGCCACAAACAATATAGGATGACATACAGCTACCAATCCCAGACTCTTTAAGTAGAACAGAGTGAAGCAGATTGCCCTCTGTTGTCCTACTAACTGCTTTACCTGGAATTTTCTTTCTCTTTTTGGTTCCTATCAGCTGTGTGGAAAGCTTACTCTTCTACAGTGTTGCAGTATCAGCCAAGTCGGCATAGAAGAGTAGACGAGGAAGGGCCCTATTATATGAGAAACTACTCTTTCTTATTTTTCATGGAAATTAGTGGCCAAATGACTCCAGTCTTCTAGTTGTACTTAAACTTGGACTAGGTAATTATTTTACTTTATTAATGATGGTTACTGTATTCTAAAGTATAACTACATGACAATAAAGGCAATAGGATGTTAACATCGCTAACCCCTTACAAAAATATTAAATACTTAGTGGTAAGTCTAATAAAACATGTATAAGATTAATATGCTGAAAAATATATGTCTTTAAAGGGATAAGAAAAAAGTAATAAAATGCCAAGTTGGCTTCTCAAATAGCAACTTCTTTTCTGCATAGATTCAATGAATTGTTATTCAAGAAATCATAGATGTATGCACTTTGATTATTGAAGTATTGTTATACCATCTTTATGTATTTCTGTTTAAATATAGTTACTTTCTCCTTGTGCAAAAAAAGGTAATAAAACCTCAATGAGTAGAAAAATATCTGTATTTATGGAGTACATAATGCAGTGAATGAGATGTCATTCACTCCAAATGATTTCTTTTTTTTTAATTTATGCATTTGGTACAGGGTCTCATTATGCAGTTCAAATTTGTAGTGACCCTCCTGTCTCAGCCTCCACAGAGCTGGGATTATAGTCTTTACTCTGGATTATAAAGTCAACACAGACCCACAGTTGCAGAAGATTTGTAGAAACTAACTAATTCATAGACTTTTATATGACAAAATAAATGAGAATAGCCAAAATAATTCTGAAAAAGCACTGCAAAGTTGGAGAACTTTGCCTTGTCTGATTCCGAGACTCACTGTGACTGTAGCAGTTGGGACATAGTGCTGTGGGCAAGAGGAGACAGAGGTCGAAAGAGAAAGGGCCAGAATTAGATTAGGGCCATGTATATATGGACTATTGATTTTCAACAGAGGCCCCAAGCAGTTCTATGGAGAAAGGACAGTTTTTGTCAACAAATGGCGCTAGAACCGTGACAGAAGTGTAAAAAACAGAAAAGAAAAATAGAAAATGTGAACACATCCTCAGAGTATATCTAAAAATTAACATGAGATGAATTATAGACTTATATGTAAGATTGAGATGAAAACCTTTGGTTATTAGGGAAATGCAAATTAAATGCACATGTATTTGATTTGCATTTCCCTAGCGATAAGTGGGTGTGACCGTGCCTCTGATTAGAATGCTTGAACGGAGGCAAAGGCGCTGGAGATGACGCAGCAGGAAGCCCTGACAGGTGTAAG